ATAATAATAATAATAACAATAATAACAACAATAATAATAATAATAATAATAATAATGTTAGATAGAGACTAAGCTCAGAGAAACACATGAAGATCTGCTCACCTTGGTCTTTTTTGGCTGCTCCATTTTACTCAGGATGTCCTTTGCGTGGGACTCAAGAGCTGCAAAGCTCGACGGTTTTCGAGGTGGTGAGGCCTCTTTTGTCTTCTTTGTCGTCTTCTTTTCTCTCTCTTTAACTTTGGGTACCTTTGGAGGTTTGGGGGTCTTGGGCATCTTGGGGGTTTTGGAGATTTTCTTCTTGGGTTTCTCTCTGCTGGGTGATGGAATGTGTTCTGGAGAAATGGGTTCCTCTGGTTCTGAGGGGACGGACGGTGGTTCCTCTGCAGGAACCTTGATGCTGGGTTCACTTTTAATGGCTTTTGTTGCATTCTGGAAGTCAGAGCAGAAACTGAGCTAAGAGTTTATTAAACACAAGAAAATGTTTCACTAACTGAGCAAAAACTTTATTTCACTTATAATATTTCAGATTACTCTTTAGTATTTCACATTTACTAATATTTACTAATAAATTTCTCTGAAAATACCCCCTAACTTCTTGATAGTCTAGTTAGCATTATAAGCTGAGTGTATGCTAACAGCTGAACTGTTCACTGCATTAAAATAACATTTAGTGTTTCCATAAACAGCTACATAGTTTCATTTAAATTTAAATTGTTTTTATTTAGAATTGTGTTATAACTGGATCTCTAAAGACCACCTGGATGTTCTCACTGGGTACAGACTGGACTTGGATGGTGTGTACATTAATACACATCTTAACGACAAACAAAAGTACCAAAAACACCTCTGGACTGAAAAGAAACGTAATGAAAAGACCTCTGACAGTCGGATCTCTTTGGCCAGGTCCTTAATGAGCTGAGATGGTTTCATGTTCTCTGGGAGCTCATCTTCATGCTCCAGCAGGGCCTGCCCCTCAAAAACAAACAATAAAACTTTTACAATGCTGTAGTTGGACAACTAAATGAGTAAAAGCATCACATTTGGTGTGTCTTCACCTGTTTTTTAGTCCAAGCTCTGAAGGCTCCGTTGATGATTTTGGCACCGTGTATCAGATATGGAGCTGGCTGCCTGTTGGCCTTATGTAAACCTGCAGAGAAGTAACAACTGTTAGCACTGAAATAAATCAGCCCTTTCCATCTCTCTGCAGAGACCACATCAGTATTATTATTGATGACACAGGTGAAAGGATAATAATGTTTTTAAGTCACTTCTTTGTGTTTGTCTAAAGCATTAGCAAAAGAGCTTATCGAGCTCTGGACAGATTTTAAGAAAACTCTTAGTAATCGTTGGATGTATGTCTTGGTGTCAGCCCACAGCTAAACAATCGTAGCAAACCCAAAAATGGGTGCAACTCAACCACTTTTACGTGTTGAACTGAAATTTGGTGTAGCTGAGAATCACCCTTAACACACAATCCAAGGGCTACACATTGTACAATATATGCCATAAACTGTTGGAGTCAACCATGTCTGTTAGCAAAATATTTCATGAGCCACTAAATGGAATTTAATGAACCTCTCACGTTAACTAACGATAGTCGCTGCAGCTAATGTAGCTTAGCTCACATGAAATGGCCTAAGCTCTGTCAGTTTCACAGATACTGAAGTAAAGTTGCAGTAGTACAGAGTAATTTACATCACATACTCTGTTCACACATCTGTAAGACTTCACAACACTAGCTCAGATTGTGCATCACATCCTTTACAGTGTTTGACTTAAACGACATAATTTCATCTAATCTGCAAACAAGTGGGAATTTGTATGGAGGTAAATTTGTGTTTTTATGATTCAATCAAACAAAAAGCATCTTCAATCAAAAATAATAATTTCAATCAAAAATA